CATATGGACTGTAATTATTTGCAATCTGTAAATAAAACCATTCTATGGATTCCATTGCTGCTTAAAGTAAAATTGGTTACTTCTTGATATAACTCTTTCTCAGCATTCATTACATTAAGTAAGTACTGTTACCTTATTTTTAAGAGCTTCCGAGTTGGCATATTTAAATTCTTTATTATATTAGCTATATGATAAGTTTTAATGTATTGTATTCAACTATGTTTTATTATTTATGAAGTGTCTTTGATCATAGTTAATATTTAGGGGCCTCAAGGAAAGAATTATTAGTTGATCATGAATCTCAGCTGATTGATTCATTATATGCAAATGCATGATGAACTAATTCTATTTGGAAGAAAATAGTTGGTGCAGTAATATCTTAGAAGTGGTCCCTTTTCTTTCACGCAAGAGGAATTCCTTTTCTGATATTATATTTATTATTTGAAAATTTCGGTAAGAGAAATTATTGATCTTATTCATATAGCATGCTAAACTATTGTGGAGTAGCATGATATTCCCCATCATTTCTACCCTAATTCATGCATAATTAGAGAAAATTTGGAGTTTGCAATATGGTCTGTAACTGTAATTTCTTGTTTCCAAATACTTAAACTAGTTTGATAATTTTGATTAGCTAACAATGACTAGTTTGTGAAAACAAGACTCCCATATATTTGGACAAAACTAGAAACTGCTGCTAATTGGAGAACTGTATTCAGCAAAACACAATGGAAATAAGTTTTAATAGAAATAAAATCATTAACCTGTTATTCTTTGCTGCACTGTTCATGACATATGAAAGGGGGTTAGTTTTAAAAACACATTGGAATTAAAATAACCTAGCAGTTGATCAGTTTTACTAGCTCTGTAGAAGCAAAGTCACCTAAATTCAAATTCTGAGAATTGTACCAGAAAATTGTTGTTGTTGTTGTTTAGTCGTTAAGTCGTGTCCGACTCTTCGTGACCCCATGAACCATATTGCGCCAGATAATTTATAAATGGCCATGGAAGCATGCTAATCTTTGTTTTGGTGAAGATTACTAGACTTTGAAGTATAATCTGTCCTGTGTATTAAGAGACATTTTTTCCCCAGTGGAAATATGTGAATTGCTTTTCATTATTGCATCCTCTTATAAATTTCAGAAATACAAAATATTAATAAATTATAAATTTAGATTAATAGATCTAGATTAAAAAAAAACTAGTACGTACATTTAGGAAGAAGGGTAATTCTCAAATATTTTTAGTGACCTACATGCCCTCTCTCACCTTTTCAAAAGGCTGTCCTCGGGAGAAGGAGTACTTTTGTGATTCTTTGTAGGCATAGAGCATATTTTTGTACCTTACTGGAGGCATTAAACAATAGACCCTAAAATCTTCCCTAGATGGAATATGAGAACTGACAGGAGTCTAAGAATATGACTGATGACATGAGCTATAGGAATATGATGTCTGTAAGTAATATTCTAACCAGTGATATGCCTATAAATTTCACCTGTGCCTGAAAAGTATTTGAAAAAGAATACAGAAAAAGAAATTAGAAAAGCTGTTTCTAATTCAGTTTTCAATTTTTAACAGAATAAGATAAATAGAATTAGGAATTTTGAACAGTTCATATAATATATGAATTCTGATGTCAAATTCTCTTGTCACGTCTTCTAATGTTGTAGGGTTTTTTTGCTCATAGCCATTATTTGCAATATCACTTAATCACAAACCTGGAATTTTTTTTAGACGGGAATCAGAAAGGAGGAATCATTCACTAGCTCGCCATGCAGATATTCTTGCTGCAGTAGAAACAAGGCTATCACTGCTAAATATGACGTTTATGAAATATGTAGATTCCAACCTCTGCTGCTTCATACCTGGAAAGGTAATGTTAAAAAAGAGTTCCATTAAAGTTAAGGAAATAAATCTTAGCATTAAATTGTTTTGAGGAGGTCAGTGATGAAAGTTAAGGACCTCCTGTACAAATGTTGTGATGTTCGTTATTTATTATCTAATCTTGTATGAGACTTTTTCCTTTCTTATAACAAATTGGCTTATCTGGTTGGAAAGTCTTTAATCATATGGTATATAAACTAAAGATGTGTATAAAATACTGATTAAAAGTGGCTTGTTTCCCAGGCCTCAGATTTGCTATGCCTGTAAGTAAGATTAACTATACATGACCTTTAAGTTGTTTTACAGGCTATTTCCAATACTTTTTAATTTGTTTTTAAATAATTAAAAGGTCATTATAGAAAACTGTGTCCCTATTGAAAAGTATGTTCACTTGATCTTGCTGGTAGCCAAGTCTCAATTTTTCCCATTTATTTTTAGGTAATAGATGAAATTTATCGTGTGTTAAGGTATGTAAACTCTACTAAAGCTCCTCAAAGAGCCCATGAAGTCCTTCAAGAGCTAAGGGACATTTCATCTATGGCAATGGAATATTTTGATGAGAAGATTGTTCCAATTCTAAAAAGAAAATTGCCTGGTTCAGATGTATCAGGACGTCTCATGGCAGCAGCTCCAGGTACTGCTTTCAGCTGCTTTGAGCATCTTATTCTGTTCAGCCAGTGAGAAACGATATTAGTTAAATTGTTGTATGATTTATTGTTTCCTCTTCTAATATAAATATTGGCTTGCTATAGAGAATTTATGATAAGAACAAAATACATTTTCAAATGCTGTTGAGATGATTTCTTCTTGTATGTACTCAAGTATTCTTTAAAAATGGCAGAAGCACTTTTTGGGGAATTTATGGAGAACATGCCTATACTGACATTTTCCAATTACTGTTAACAAGCACATATAAAGCATACAAAAACAATCAAATGATTTGGAAAAACAGCAAAAATATAACCAATTAGTAATTCCATATGTGAAAATACGTTCCTCATACAATATAAAAAGTAAAGTGTTAGTTAAATGAGGCTGAAGAATAAATGCAAAATGCAAGTAGCCAAAGAGAGCTTTAAAAATATGGCTTGGCTCAATTTAAAGAGGCTTGCTTGGACTGAGAATTTTTCAGGGCTTTTGATTAATTTAGCTTGATTAGGCCTCCAGCTAGAATCAGTAGCAAAGACTGGGTTTAGAGCAGTGTTTTTCAAACTTGAAAACTTTAAGATATGTGGACTTCAACTCCCAGAATTCTAGGTTTTGAAGTCCATACATCTTAAAGTTGCCAAGTTTGAAAAACACTGCTTTAGACAAATTGGAGATTCAAGGTGTTTGTAAATTGGAGTAGAGTGAAGAAACCATCCTGGGAAGCAGTTTGGGAAAAGAGTAGAATTTGGGAGATTCCAATAAAAGGTTATTTCCTGCTGCCAGAAGTGTTTGGGTTGAAAAGAAACAAAGTCATAATCGTATTGACAGAGAGAGCAGAGGAATAGATGATTAGTAGAGTCTGATTTATACAGACTTTTGGAAATGATATTGTAAAACAGTTGCGACCTTGTTCTAAGGCACTTCTGAGAGCATATTCAGATAGCTATTCAATTAGGTATCAATATGACCAGATAAAGTTGAAGGGATCACAGAAGCACTGAAGAAATTAATACTCAGCCAGGATAAGACTGCATTCCAGGGCTTATTTCACTTATTAAAAATCAAAGATAGATAAGAAAAATGCTGAAGCACGCTTTCTTAAGAAAAATATTGGAGCTGAAAGTATGAGGATGAGACAAAAATCCTCCTGAAAAATAGACAGAGGACTCAGAGACTATCTTCCCTTTAGACCTGTTGCAATGTAAGGCAAAGAAGAGGTAGCGATGATTATAACCTTTTTGAGCAACAAAAAGGGATTTTAAAACAGAGTAATCAATGCCACATAAACGATAGCAGAGATAATCTTTCCCCCTCCTTTCTTAACTTGAATGGCCAAGACAAGACCTTAGAACCCTGTGCATTGAAAATCTTTGCTCACAGCATTTGGCACATTCTGCTCTCTTGGTTTGCTCCACTTGGACTTAAGCAAGAGGTGCATTAGCTTGGCCAATCCACAAAGTGCAGTTAGACTAAATCAATTTTATTTTTGGCTCGCTCACTTGAAAATTCCTCCATATGGTCACAGTTTCCAGTTTTTCTGGGACAAGGGCTCCTTTGTAGTTGTATTTTCTTTGGGTAAAATTTCTTACCTCTCTCTGTCTTTCTGAAAAGTTCCAGGAAAAGAATTTTGGAGTTTTACACAGGTTAGCTTTAGGCCATGAAGAGTGGCCCAAAGAGTAGAAAAAGTTCCGGTCGATGGAGACTCTGGTTAGTTTCCAGACAAAGAGTACAGTGGGTAAATTGTTCAGCTTTGGCCCAGAGAGATAAAAAAACATCCTACTCCTGATATAACAAGATCACATAACTGAACAGAAGCAAAAGCAATAATATTGTGAAAGAACAAAACTTTGACTTGTTAACTGGTATATTTTACTTTGTTTTGGATTAGCACATGATTGGGAGATGGATAGGAATATATCAGATAAGCTAGGATCTGTTTTTAGGAAAATTCTACCCACTCCATATGTTTAGGCAAACATACAATTTAGTCAAGGCTTCCTCCTCCTCCTTCCAGAAGAAGTTTTAATATTTCTTTAAACATTTAATCAGCTAGAAGAGATTCTGAAATAGTATTCATACCCAATTCTATCTGGGTCAAAGTGCAGCAGCAAAAATTCTACTTTCAGAGTCAAAATAGAGTAAGCAATACTTTAAATTGACACAGCACTCTTTGGATAAATCAGGATATTTACAAATGTAAATATCCACAGATTAAGCATTATTGACTGGATTCAGATCCTCTTTCTTTTAATGGAAATCCTAATAAATTGTATGCCTTTTGTGTCAGAAGAAATCCTTCTGACTCAGGCTGTGCCTTCTGAAAAGGAGAAGTTTTATACTAAAGGCCTCTTGCTCATTAACATCTTTTCTACCAATGAATGCAACTTCACCATGATGTACCACCTTACTCGACAAAGGTGTAATTGCAGATGCAGCACAGAGACATGAATAGTGATTCATTTTGATGGGCAAGTAGAACAGATTTATTCAGCTCTCTCTCTAGACTGTGCAGCTAGAAATAATACTTCAGTACTGACTGCACAACAAAAGCTTTGAAGCCTTGTAAGAGATAGGCAGATGCTGTGAAACAGTTGAATCACAAACTTGCATAAAATCTTTAGCTCTGATTCTGTTCGATGCATCTGATGTCCAAGTAAGTAGACATCTAATACTGGTTATATTTTCCTGCATATTTTTTATCCCTCTCAAATGTGTTTAAAATTAATAGTTTAAGATTTGGATATTATAATAAAAATAAATCCCCAAATAAAGTCTTTACCATAGAGCAAAAATGTGTACCTTGAGGTTTAGAAGAATCAGTAATTTAAAAAGAAAGAATAAAGAGTCTTGTTTTTTTTATTTTATCTAAAACTTACTTATCAAATATCTAAAATACTCTGTAAAAATCTAAAGTACTTAATTGATTGATAATGTGCCGTCAAGCCGTTTTCAACTACTAACAACCACATAGGTAGATTTTCTCCATGGCAATCTATTTGTTAGCTGTTCTTTCAAAACTCCCAATACTTCTAGAAAGATGTCAATACTTTTCCTATCTTGCCTCTTCAAAGTCCAGCTTTCACTTCTGTAGAGTGTCAAAGGGAATACTATGGCTTGCATGATTCTGATCTTTGTAGGTATAGAGACATCGTGGCATTCAAATATATTTTCTAAGTGCTAGTCTGCAGCATATTTCTTGACTGCTTGTTCCTTTACTGTTTACTTTACTTTACTGTTGATAGTTGATCCTACCACCTTACTTGTCTCCTGAGAAATCTGTATGCGGGGCAAGAAGCAACAGTTAGAACCTGTCATGGAACAACCGATTGGTTCAAAATAGGGAAAGGAGTACAACAAGGCTGTATGCTGTC